AAAAGTTACCCGTGGAGGTATGGAAAGGATGACTGAAACCATTCTGAACTGTCAAACAGGCAAGCAGAAAGGTACTTAAGAGTCAGTAAATTCAGCTGCTTTGAATATCACCAGAAAGTCAAGCAAAGTCTAAGTAAAAGTGAAAGCTCCATAAGTAAGCACACAGCTACTGTTTGAAATGACGTGTGGGTAACACTGAGTGCAGGAACACAGGTTTACATCTCTGACAACCAGGCATATTGTCTTGGTGGTGTATAGAAATGCGGCAGCTAGTATCCTTAGCTACTACTGATGACGTTATTTATCCAAAGCTTTAATTAATTCTGAAAACTTACTGAAAATGCTCACATTTGATTGTGGGTTTTCCATTGTTTTCCTCTCTGTGTAAACATTGCATTTTCACAGTGAGCAAACCTCTCCTGCTGATTATGCACACCCTGAATACGTCTGCTGAGCCATAACAGGAACATACAAGGTGTGTTAAGATTCATTATTCTTCTCTTGGCTTTTCACATAATGCACACAAGAACAAATTTAATCGCACTTTAAAGAAATGGTACTGGAATTAAATTTAACTGATTTCTTAAAATGATGTGCTGCCTAACCAGGAAACAGCTACACGTGCACTCATGCTTCTTCCATATATATTTCCCATGCAGATTTCACGTTGCTGTTACACTAGCTATACACAATGAATTTATTCTTTGCTTGAAATACATTCGCAACTCTGTAGTCATTTATTTTGACAACGCAGTCATCACAAAGCAACAGGGCATGTGAATTCTTTGCTCCAAGGGTATCTGGGATTGCATGTTGGACTTCCCCTCTGAAAATGAAGCTGAATAAAACACCTGAAAAGTGACAGTTTTATCAGTTTGCGTGAAGAAGCAATTCTTGAAGTGCGGAGAACTTCGTGAGAAGTTTTAATGTTCTTCCTTTGATTTCACCAAATATACGAGCCCTTTGGAAACTGATGAATGCATTGTCAATAAACACACCTCATCATTACACTGTTTGGCATGCCTTTGCTCAAACGCATTCAACATGTAGCTTTTTCATACTTGAAAACCAATAGTAAATACCGTTTCATTTTTGCATCTCAAGTCCCTTTCACCGAATTACAGAAGGCTTCAAGGTGATAAAATTAGTTGACCAACTACTTAAAAGTCGGTATTCTAACAACGCAAAAGCTTTCCAGATTCCTGGAGAAGTTTAGTGACTGCAAGTCAACGTGAGTGTGACAAAAATAAGGTGAAATAGGGACAGCATTAGCTCTAGTGTGGTCTAATATTTGGCTCGTCAGGCCAGTTAAAGAGGTGTACACCACAGCGTGCAGTCCACTGGTGTACATCATCACCTGGGATGTCGTTGGATTAAGAGATACGATTCAAATTCAGAACCACGATTCAGAGTAAAATTCTAATCTCTTAAGGATGAACTAGATCTCGGGGGGATTTGTGCTATTGAGGAAAAAAGCCTTGCCTGCTCAGGTCCCAGGAGGTAAGTGGTTTGTCCATGAAACTCCCACAGAAATTCTTCTTCTACTCTTACAGGGCTGCTTTCAGCCCCATTCAGCCTGCAAAGGTCCTGATAGTTGATATCTTAAGAAAGAGGGAGATTCATCAATTATTTTGCTTGAAATAAACCTGTTAACTTGATGAAAAGCCTTCAAAAATGAAGTTTAATAACGTCACAAGTTTCAAAAGCCAAATTCTTCCAAACCCATGTGTATAAAAGGCCTCAGGCATTAACGAAATGGCAATGGTTACACCAAAGAAGAGTTGTGTTTTCTTGTACATCAAATAGCATCACTAATTTCACTTGAAAAGTACTTTCTTTTGATGAGATTTCTCAGAACAAAAGTTTTAAGTATAGTAATTTGTATACATAATACATCTTAGGAGGAATGGCAGATCACAAAGTGGTGGAGGCAACTTAAGCTTCATCAACTCATTATGCAGGAACAGAGAGCTGGAGATGCTGAGATATGAAACGGAATGGGAAATTACACCAGAAGAACAGTGGCCTATATTTCACTCTTTACAATACATAATTACTTCTAGTACATCTGTGTATTGTGTGGTGTCCACTTTGATACTCTTCCCTCTTTAAAGACATGAAATCTCATCTTCCTTCCATTGAAGTTCAGGGCAAAACTCCTGCTAGTTCAGTGGGGGCAGAACAGAGCTCATGCTTCCCTCTTCCCCACGGAAAACGCACTGGGATCATTTGCCAAGTCTGCAGTTCAAAAGCGTTGTTCAGAAGATAGACTGTTCGCATTTTGTCAAGAGAAAAGTTTTTGAGAGAGTTCAGTCATGAATTATATAACTGAGGAAACTCTATGGAAAGCTAATTTTGGATCACTAAAGTGTTTTAATTATTTTTTAAAGATGGCCAATTCTTCAGGTCTTTGTGTGAATTTAGTTTTGTACTACTCTTACCCACTTCATTTTTTTTTGTTCAGAAGTTTCACATTTACATCTAATCTTTACACCTGATCAAATTCCTAACATCATAGACCATGACATGCACTTCAGTATGTAGATGTGAACTGTCTCTCTTCCTTCAAACACCCTAAGATCTTTTATGGTTCAGCACCATTAAAAATATAGTTTAGTCTTACAGAGCAAATAATTTGCAAAGATAAAATAAATAAATAAATAATTGCTTTCAGTAATCTTCCATTTAATCAAAAAATCTATTTTGGTAAAAGTAGTGTTGATTAAATTAAAACAAAAGGCCAGATGCCGCAATGATCGTAATACTGTTCCCACAGAAACTACTCAAATATTACAAGTAATAATTGGATAAAAAACTTTATGTGTTCTACACTTCTGAAAGGTCATTAAGAGATAAGTGATGCGTAGGTAATAGGCAGAAGCAGTTGACATATCACATCTTGACTCCGGAGGGGAATCAACACTCAGGGCTCTAGAAACAACATGCTGTTTAGTTTTCATGACTATGGGACATAAATTCACAAAATGAGTAGGACAAATTCCCATCTCTGTGCTACCAAAGTAAAGCTGAAATATCCCAGCTAAGTGCTGAGAAACAACTCTGAAGTGATAGCACAGGAATGAAGAAGAGATTTTTGGTGGCTGCCAGGATGTTTTTGGCACGCTGAAGCGAGTAGAGAAAACGCATCCCCCAGAGTAAGGTGAAGAGGCTTCATCCTCGCTGCCACCAGCTGGTCCAGCCACCGAGGGGTCAGGATCACCACCTCCAAATGACATTCTAGCAGGACCAGCATCCTCTAAAACTGATGATAACAAAAAGAGATACGGGTATATGTAGCATGAAATTTTACCCATATATAGGTTAATGGAGTTTAGCTCTTGGCATCCAGGAGAGCAGATTACAAGCGCTTTGGTTTCATGGTATCCACGTACCTTTTATTCTGTCAGAATTGTCTGAGGAGAGTAAAGTAGGAATTTCATCTTGTGAGCAGCACTAAAACAACATGAATTGTGTGACTGCGCTGTATCCCAGCAGGACAAACTGCACCCTGGCCTCAGAGAAAGAAGATATTGGGGAGCAGATCCTGAATGGCTCTGGGGGTCCTCCATCCCCTCAGACCCACTCAGAAATATAAGCAAACTTCAGCCGAGATTAAAAAATATTAAAAAAATATTTTCTTTTCCTTGTGTTTGTACAGTCTAAGCAGAAAACTGCCATCAAGATGTCTAAGGTTGCAGAGTGTGCAGGGACCACAGTTAGTCTGTACTGATGTAGAGAATCCCCCTTGGGACTGACAATTGTCCTGTCTCTGACCAGCTACCAAGTTACATCTCAAAGTTAGGGCTAGAAAAAGTCAGGTACCAGCTCATTTTAAATCTGGGCAGATGATAAAACTAAAGCTTACCCATTGCAGCGGGAAGAAGAACTTTCATGTTACACTGAGGGTACCTCAGCATCCTTGTTGTGATGTACTGGGCAAGAACCAGCAAGGAGGTGGAATATAAAACAATCTCTGGCCCTGGGAATCTGTCAAGAGCAGCCTCTGGACATTTTGCAGGAACTACCACCTGAAAGCTGAGCACCGTAATTTGCAGCAGTGCCTGCGGCCTTAGGCATGTGGGTATTGTTAGTGTAGATAGTGAATAAAAGTGTTATTGCAAATGGGAAGTATATGGTCTGAAGTACACGTAGATCTCTGTGTTCCTGCGCTCTGTATCTGCTCACCAATAAATATGACTAACTACTACTGCAATAATAATAATTGGGGGGGAAAAAATACCCCACAAAACAACATCTAAATGGAAAAATTACATATATTCTTTTATTTAGACTTCAGACTCCGGTGGGAATAATTGGGAGTAAATGAAGACAGAATCACCTGCAGTCTCTGTAGGAAATTACTTCCCACACTGACGTGTGTGCTGGGTGTATTCAGAAGAAATTACATGCACTGAAAATACAACTCATTGTGTCAAAGGAACCTGATAATTTTGAATAAAACCCTGAAAATTGTTAAGAGCCAACTTATACCCCAGACCAGTTAGTTCCTGTTGGCACTGCATTCATCCCTAACAGCTGGAACCTACAGTATTACATTCCATAGCGATGTTTTGTTAATGATTTTTGTTAAAATAGTATTTGCAAAGAACTACATATTTTACAACATGCACTCTACCTAGGACTCTTACCAATTTACCGTATTCTACATTAAACTTGAAAAATTCTTTTGACATTTTTAATACATTTTACCTGGTTGTTTTATTTAAGATTTGTCCTTTTCTCCCCCAGGCTTTGGCAGGGAGTGACATACATAGCAAGGACTGGAAACAGCCATGCTGGTCATGAAGAAGACTCTCAGCAGGTTTTGGGTTTTTTTTTTCTTTCCCCCTCCCCTTTCTCTGGTGCAATTTTTACCTACTGATCTTTGCCCTGGTCTTTGTACACTTCAATAAAACAAAGACTTTCAACTTAGTGGGTTTTGAGGGATGACTGTGCAAATCATCCTAAATCCCTGCTGAGTTGTTTGGGGCTGGAAGATGCACACAGCGTTCCTTAGAACTTTCAGTCTCTTCTTTTATGACAGCTGGGAAGGAGGACAAGAAGGTAAGTGAATGTGAAAGAGTGGAGAAACACAGAACTGCAACGCTCATGAGGAGATTGGGAAGGACTCGATTTTCCTGGTTCAGGCAGCTGGTACCATGCTTTGTATTTCCATCCAAGAGAGCCAAGATAGATTTGAATAAGGAAAGAAGGAATGTAACACGTTGGCAGAAATGGAAGACTGCCATGTGTTGTAACAGACCACTACAGAGGAAAATTCATGATACCGTAAGTGATGTAAAAAGTGTTATGCGAAGTTATTGGTCACAGGGGACTTCTGGGCTCATTGGCTTCCCTCAGTCTATAGATGAAAGTTGTTTATTTGGAAATGCCATTAGGGGGCAGATGTGGGATCTGTTCTTCATACAGGTCTCCTCTACGGTGAATATGTGGTTACCGTCCGAAGTCCTACAGCAAGATAATAACATTTTTGAAAATGTTGGTGTTAATAATTGTGCCACCTCTGTTGGCATTGCAGTATCAGAGCCAGCTGTCCTTCATCTATGGTTCGTGAGCTTTGACACAGTGAGAACTGTTGAAAATATTTTAAACTTCGGTAGGTAGATTCTTATGTAGAACTATAAAGAGAAAATGGTTTCTAACTTTCTCCTTCAAAACCAAACATCTTTCAGTTTTTCATTTACTATCAAAGGCTTAAATTTGTTAATGAAAAATTCCTATTTGCCAGATATATCTTAGTTTAACAAGGGTAGAAATAAAAATTGTTCTTCCAGTAGGGTTTGGTCTAGGAGAAAAGGGATATTTTTTTTTCATTTTTAATCCAGATATGCTGCTGTATTCTTTTTATTCCTTTTCCCTGCTAAGATTTATCTCATTAAAGAAATTAAATACCTACCTTTCTTTCAATTATGATAAAGGAATAGAATACCTGAACAATCAGATTATGGGGGGGAAAAAAAAAAAAAAAAAAAAAAAAGTTTGCTGATTTAAAGTTGTATGATTCAGATCAGGTATTAGGTTTTTTTAATTGACTTCCTTTATTTCAACTACATAGTAAAAGATATAAATGTCATTTACAAACAGTAATCAAGATTTTAAAGTTTCATTTTGAATGAAAATCTACAAATGTAGAAGTTTCAGGAATAATCTTCTGAAAGCAACTCACCAAATACGGAAAGACATGAAAAGGAAATGCCAGTCTGCTCCCAGGGGGCTGAGAATCTTTTGTATAGATCCGTTACGGTGTGAGACCTTCCCACGGAAGATTTCTTATGTTCAGAAAAAAAAAAAAAAATATGTAGAAGCAATAGTGGATGGGAAGGGGAGATATAGAAATACAAGACCTTCTTTGGTGGATGCTCTGCAATCTGTAGTGGGTGTTTTCTCAGGTGCACGGGGTAATCTCACATTCCCCAGCAACCACGGAGCATAAAGTCCTCTGCCTGCACCTTTGCAAACCCTTGAGACTAAATTACTTCCTGCTGGGTTTTGCACATATAATTTTTTTCCTAAGATAACTGCTTGGCCTCATAAATCGCTTGATTTTTTTGATTTTTTTTTTTTCTCCAGCTATGTTTATATGTGGGGTACATTGATTCTGATTAAATGTATTTCATTCTAAATGAAGAAGAATTAGAGACTAGTTAATTCCAGCATGTTAACAGATAATGTGAAGGGCTAAACCAGATGAAGGAGCCACACGTTTTCTTGATTATCAATAAAAGATCTTATTTTTCTAATTGACCATCTGGTTTCTCCAAAGAAAAGTGTCAGGTGAAGAAAATGATGGAGGAGAGTGAGTGTGATCCTTGTCACTTAACCACACAGAGCAGGTGCTCAGGCTCTGTCACGTTATTCTTGGTTTTTACTCCTACCAGCAGATTTTGTCAGGTTTGTTGTGTAAATTTGGGGCATTTCCCATAGTTCTTCATCTTCTCCTCATGGTTAGAAGTATGTTTTCTGGTAAGAACAGCTTGTAAGGAAAAAAAAAAAAAAAAAAAAGAGCAGCCTAAGAGATCTTTAAAAACTCAATGGGCCTTCAAGATAACAACCTGAGTGTCAGCAGAGCCTGCTCATGATGGTGATTTTAACAGAGCAAAGGGGAAAAGGCCACTACACTTCTGTGACAGATGTCAAACATCTCAGTGACGGATATAGAGTAAATCTGTTGTCTGATAACAGAAATGAGACAAGGCTTAGCAGATTACCTGCAATATCTTTATTTCCTATATCTTTATGGCAGTTTTATTTCCACGATGCGGGGACAGATGTAACTCTGGAGAGAGAAAACCCTCAAGTCGATTCCCCATTTCAGCCGAGAGCTAATCAACAGGCAGTCGGCAACAGCAGAGGCATTTGTTAATATGAATCATGCGCTGGTGTGACACAGGGTTAAATTTATTGTAATGGAGTTAGAAATATTTTACCGAACAGAATTTAAAAAAATGTAATTGCATGACAGAAAACAAATTTAATCATGAGAAGAAGCAGCTCAAGGATCCTTCGCAGTTTCAAACAAAGAAACTAGATAGAAGAGATTGTCAATTTGATCTTTATTACGATAAGGGTTTATGATAGAACTAGCACTCCTGAGTGTTTCCCTGAGTTAACCAGATCTTCCAAAGCACTCAGGATCTGGCCGAAATAAAAGTAGATTCTGCAACGAACTTTAAAATGAAGTGTTGCAATGTCTTTTCGACAACAACAAGGAGGTGGTTTAACACACTGTTCCCTTCATCCCCCCAACAATTAGGGCACCTGCTTTCGTGAGACAGACAGACTCGGCCCTTCCTTAACTTACAGAGAAATCCAGCTTTGCTTTTTCCTGCCGAACAGCACAACTCTGCATCTTCAGTATAATGCAGACCAGACGTCTTTGGTACCCGGGGAAGAAGATAAAACTATTTTGTGAGGGTGTCATCTATCAGGTTTTGAGAAGTGCTGCTGCCTTGGGTCAGACTACCCAGTAGTCTCGGCTGCTGTGACCTGAACAAGCAAAACAGCATCTCATTGTTTTCCCTTAATTGTTCAATTAATTCTCTGGTCACTTTGCACTATCAGAACAGCAGAGAGAAGCCAGAATGTAAAGGCGACGTTATGAAGTATGCAATAGCTTTTCTTATCCAGCTCTATATGTCCTGTTTGCACAAATCAGTGCACTGTTTAGACAGACTTGAAAGCCTTAAAAGCAAGCTATTCTTTCAGTTCTGTCTTCCCCAATATGATAATCCTGTTTACAAAAGCTCCCTTTGAATTTACAGACAAATAAACCTTGAAAAGTAATTCATAAGACACCGTGTGTGCTACAAGTTCCAATGATGCCAAACCGTAATAATAAAATTTGGAATAACATTAAAAGTAGAATGAATGTTAGCATTCTAATGCAAATTTGAAGATGATTAGCATTACTAGTTTTAATAACATTAATAGCAACAATGATGGATGAAATAAAGTGATATTGTTATCTTTGTTCTATGCAAAACTTTTTTTTTTTTTTTTTTTTTTTTTTTTTTTTTGGATTGGTAACTTTGTAAAAATTCAGATTCTCTTCAAATTCCCCCATAGCAGAACACTTGGTCAGATCCTTTTCTTACTCTTGCATTATTTTTCAGTACAATTTCTGAGAGAACTAACTAGAGAAATTGTAACAGAACTACATAAATGCCTACACAGAAGAGATTGTGAAATGAAAGGTAAGAATTTTATAATTAATTTAATTCTTGCTTTTTTCTAAACATTTTTTTTTTTAAGTAAATGTTTCAAAGCACTAAGAAGCAAGATGCAGAATTTATCTGTGTTTCTGACAGATTCAGTATAAGCTTTTAAGAGACATTTTTTACTAGTTAAATACAGCTTAAAAATATCTGCAGTTTTATAACCTTTTCCCACCTTTATCAATCTTTTCATTATGCACCAAACATTATAAGAATGAACTTGATTTCAAATTCTGACCTATGAAAAATGGTCAGTGACTGACATGACCGCCTTAATGAATCCATTCTAAAATAAACATTCTAAGTTATTTATCATTTTATCACAGTGAGGAAGAAATTCATCACTGCGTGAAGCGACAGAAGTCTGGGCTTCACCCTTTAGCTCTGAGTAACAAAAAAATGCTTTAACTAGATTACTAATAATTATGAGTCATGACATAAACCCAAGAGTTTAATGTCACTAGTTAATCACATGTGGATTTTATCCATTAAACAGCATTATGACTCAGTTTATCACTGTTTCATTATTTATCCTTCAGGGATAATACTAACCAAAAAGAGCAATGAAACATAACAGGTAAGTTCAGCTCCTTTGTGCTTTTTTTTGTATATCCCAGCCATCACTGAAACTGCACGTTTTAATAGCAAGAGTTCTCTCCTTTCTTCAAAGACAAAACTTGTCTATATTCAAAATATAGTCAGTCAATATTAGCTTAAATGTGTAAAACTACAAAAGTGTGGCTTATTTAAATATTTTAAATTAAATATATTTGGGAGATTCTGGAAAACGGTGAAGGCAATAATCAGATTTATATTTTGATAAATAAATAAATTACAAAAAGCATTAAACAGCATATATGAAAAATAAATGAAGTAATTAGTAAACCAGGTGAATGGGAGCTGATAGGTGGTGGAGTATCTAGGAGGTAACACACTGAGAGAAAACTTGATTAACTCAAATTTCTAAGTATCTAGATTCTTTGTTAAGCAGAAAGAATAATTAATTAAAAGATTAAACCAGTCATGACATTTAACTCTATTCAAACTGAAAATGAGATGAATGAGTCAGATATTCTGGAGAAAAAATTAAAAAAAAAAAAAAAAAAGGGGGTAAAAGCTCAATAATAAACAGGCAAAAACAAAGTACAGAATTAATGTTTTTCAGCCTCGAGTATTTCCAGAGTATACATCTCATCAGAGGTTTACCTTTTTAACTTATCTTGGTCTCTATCTAATGGCTTAATCACAGAAAAATAATCTTCCTCGTCACTTAGTTTTCTTTCTTCATTTACTGACCATCTTCAGCAAGGCAGGGGTGTGGAAAAAAAAAAATTACCATGGAACTATAAACTTGAACAATCTGGGGAAAAATTTTGAGAGCAGGAATGGTACATTTCTCAATGAAACTAAAATTGTCCCTTCACCACAGGCCCATACGCACTTTTGTCCTTGTTTTAACAGGGGCTGTGATTTCCCCTCTTCTGTTGTCTTTAAATACTTAATGTATTTAATGTAGACTGTCTAAATACAGACTCTTTCAGATAAAAGGCTGCCAGAGATACTGAAAAATGTTTGTGTGGCAGGCTGCTATTTCACGTATCACCAGAATTTTATAGACTTATTTATAAACACATGGAAATATATATAATTAATTATAAAATATATGCTCATTATAAAATACTTTGCTGATATTGTATCCAATATAGTTTTATATTTATTATAATGTAAAATTATAACATAGCTATATATATATATATATATATATATATATTTAAAACATAGTATAGAATACTAAATATTATGAAATTGGACTATTGGAGCAGTTCCACGTCCAGGATCATAGTTCCGTCCCATACACAGTGCTCCATCCCATATTACGGGGAGGCATGGAAGTCCTTTTATCTAGTATAGACCATGTTGAAGCCAAAGAAGGGTGAGATGTGATCCTTGCTGTGCCTATGGAAGTATCTATTTCCTTTTATCTCCCGATACTTAACACGGACAATTGGTTTAATACAGTTTAAGGTACATCAGGCTCCTCCCAGCTGTTTTCCCTCTTAGGACTGGTCTTTAGCATCCAACCACACCAAACTCTACTTCTAGGAATGGTCCGTCCCACACTGGATTTGAATCACTTTATTTAATTCTGGGGAAAGAGAAAAGCTCTTCGGGAAAGCCAAATCACCTGGGAAGGCAGTTCCGAGTACCTTAAAAAATTCCAGATGAGGAAGATCAACTTTACATTCTCAGTGTTAAGCATATACTTTTGTGTGAGGCTGATGGGAAACACTTATGGTCTAACCCTTCTCCCTTGTTCACCATCACTACTGTTGTGACAAGTCAACCCATGACAGCCGGTAGGACCATTCCACATGAGCGAAGAAATACTTGTGAGCAAGTAGGACAGAAAAGGCCCTCAGTGGCTGAGCTAAGAAACCTATTTAAAAAGCAGTTAACAAGGGGCCAGGAGGAGTGGCAGAAAAATCCCATATTCCAGTGAGAAATGCGCCAGACTCAGAGCTCAAAGGGCTGGAAATACTCTCATCGTACATACTTTAAAAAGCATCCTGCATTTTTCACGAAATATTTATTTATTTATGACTAAACACAAGACTAGATTCCCTTTCCCCAAGTTCAATTTACCATACAGTCACAGGAAGGTATAGAAACACAAATTGTAGGGCTAAATATTGAAACATGTTGGGTTTAATTACTTATTAAGAATATTTTATAGGTTTGTATTTGATGATGTTGTTTTAGAAGAAATAACCAAGAGAAAACGGTCTAATGCTGCCATGTATGATTGAATGGAGTAGAGAGTGGAAATTAAAATAATTTGGAAAAACCACATATAAGATCAGAACTTGGGTTTTGTTCAAAAGTTACAAAAAAAACCCAAAACCAAAAACCAAACAGGAGGAGATAGTGAAAAGGTGTTTCACATGTACGTGTTCTGAGGTCCTTGCATTTGAGCAGTGAGGGTGAGTGTGGTTTTCAGGGGGTTCTGAGGGTTTTTTTTAAATTGGACTAGCTTTTGATCCCAAGTCATGTCTGTAAATAATCAGAGAGGAAAATGGCTTCCATCATACCAGTGACATTAGTCTGCTTTTCCTCTGGGAATAAGGAAAGCAACCATTTAAGCCGTAATGGAAATGGCTGGGCATTGCACTCTTTTACAGAAAGATGCTCCCAAGCTGCATTAACCCCAGCCTCACCGCCTGAAAAAAAAGGAGAATGTGACCTACTAGCGAGACACTGCTGCTTCTTGATGTATTTTGTGAGTTCTCTAGTGCTCCGCGGTGTTTTGTAGATTAAAAAGCAAAAGACTTATAGTTTGTATTTGTAAATGAGTGGCATTCCATGTATGATTAATAAACAGAGATTATTTACTTCACTGTGCCATATATTTTCATCACATAAAGTACACGAGATCTATGGTTAGAAACCCTCCTTTATGTCATACCTAAAACAGCAGCACCAAACCTGATAGAAATCCTTAGCCAGCAGAAAATACCACCAGAAAGTGAGTTTTCCTCAAAACACCCACAACACTGTTCCTTGAGGTTGTCCACATATATATATAGAAACTACTCCAACCCTCGAGAAGTTTTGATTCAGGGGATTTATTTTTCTCAACTTAAAAACACAAGAGTCTTTTTCTTAAGAAAATAAGCCTTGTTTCTCTAGAGGTGTAGTTGGGTTTCCTAAAGAGATATTAACTCCTGTTTGGCTTAATATTGATAGATGGTTTTCTAGGAATTCAATATAAAGTTGACTGTTCAAAGTTTGAGAGTTAAAAGTTT